AATTATGGTTATAATTATAATAATAATTAAATATTAAAATAATTTTTAATTACAATTATAATACAGTTCAATACAGTTCCATTAAATAATTAGCAGGCATCTTTTCACACGTTGCATCTTGCCTTCCCAGAACCTAAATCAAAAATCACAACAATAACAGACAAAGAAGCCTGAAGGTATTTGCACTTAGGTTTTCGGTTCAGTGACATCAAGTCATGTATAAATGTATTCTTTTATTCCTAAAGTAATTGTTTGAGTCTCGTCCTATGCGAATTTGTTAAAAAAAAAAAAAAAAGGAAAGAAAAGAAGCCTGAAGGTATTTGCACTTAGGTTTTCGGTTCAGTGACATCAAGTCATGTATAAATGTATTCTTTCATTCCTAAAGTAATTGTTTGAGTCTCGTCCCATGCGAATTTGTTTAAAAAAAAAAAAAAAAAGGAAAGAAAAGAAACCTGAAGGTATTTGGAAGTCGAAGTACATAGATAAGACAAGCGTACTACATAAGACAAGCGTACCTTTTTTCTGAATCCAACTGGCAATTACATTGAAGGATAAATTGAGAATTCTTGGTTCCTTGAATGGCTGAAACAAGGAAACATTTAAATACCAACTATTTGTGGGATCAAATATGCTAAAAGAAGAAATATCAAACTACCTAGTGTTGTTGAGTGAAAGCTCGATCACATGGCCTTTTGTGAAGTAGCCGCAGGTGACCCTCTCCCATTAACAACAGTCATCCTTTGGGTCATTAAGATGTAGGCAACAATATTAGAATAAGAAAACATTACTTGCAAAGCCAGAGTTAAGTGATGAGGAAGTTTAAAGTCTGCCTTACATTGGCTAAAGATTCTCCGACAGCTGAAGTGCAGATCTGCAAGTGCATAAATGTGATAGAATTTTTCAATAACCAAAATAGTTTATGCTTCAATAACATCAAGACCAACTAACATGTAGAAAAGTAGAAAGATACTGCTGAGAGATCATCAGCAGACATCCTTTCGCACGTTGCATCTTGCCTTACCAGAACCTAAAATAAAAGTTAAATGTTAAATTTGATCCCTCAACTTTAAAAAATGCATATTTTTGATCTCTTAATAATTTTTTACACTTTTTTAATCCTTTAACTATAATAAATGCACTTCGTTAGTCCTTTTGTTAATTGGAACCATTAACTCCGCTTATGTGACATTTTTTATATTTTTTTTGATGATGTGAAGAGCAAAATTTAGAAAAGTGATGATATGGACAAACATTTTGACATGTTATGTTACTGTGCATCAAATCCACTCAAATGGGCCCCACATCACTAATAAAGAAATATGTCTTTTGATGACATGGCACCAAATCCACTCAAATGGGTCCCACATCACCAATAAAGAAAGATATCTTTTGATGACATGACAAATTAAGTGATATTTTTATATTTTTTTAATAATATAACAAATTAAATTAAATGTTTACTTGAATAAAAAATAATATCAAATCAAATTTTATTAATTAATCATCATTAAACTATAATTATTTATATCAATCAAAATTAAGATTCTAAATTAATTTATAATTAAATCACATTTTTTTCATCAAATTTTCTTTCTTTAACGGACATTATAGTTTCTTGATAACCAATCTCAGCAACCAAACAAATTTAAAGCATTTTCTCAACATCTAAACACCCAAACTATACAATTTTCCAACCAAACAAATGGAAACCCACTAAGAATTGCTTCTTTGCCCAATTGCTTATGTTCTTTCTATTTTGAACATTTGACATTGAAATCATTTAGACAATACTTAAGAAATATGAAGAAAAGGATCCAAACATCCCTCACATCCTTCAACTTAGATAATCTTTTCGCAAACAACCATATAACAAAAAAAAAAAAAAGTGGAGCTGGGTTCGACGGAACCCAGCAAACTGGGTTCCACCGAACCTAGTAGACATAGAGGAAGAAGAGGAAGAAAGAAA